CGTTGGAGACAAGAATTGGAACAAAAGAAACCTTCGCAGCAACAAGTAGCTTCTTCGAGTACGACCGTTGGTGTTTCTAAAGATTTGTTCAATAAAGGATACCACAGCGGTGATAACGATCACCAACCTTTAAATCATTCAAACGAACTTGATTCTGTCTTTTCAGCTTCCAATGGAGCCGATGGTGGATCCAGTAAAAATACAGCATTGGAACTTTATATTAAGGGAGTTACGAAAGAACGAGAGGGAAATTTAAGCGAAGGTTTTTATTAATCTCATTGTTATAATGATACTTTTATCGATGTTAACTTTCTGCTCATCAAGATGATCATATCTTTAAAGCATTAAAAAGCTATCGTCAAGCTTTGAAACTTGACCCTAGTGTAGAGCATACTTACCGGAAGCACTTTCATAATGCCGTCAGTGAGGAAAATTCCGAAGATTTTGTTGCTTCTAGATCCATGGTTCAACATTTAGAAGAAGAACTTCGTTTGATAGAAAATAGTAAAAGTTCATCAGTATCTCAAAAATATGAAGAAGGAGGAGGTCAAAAGAACGACAAAGAATTAGCTAACACGGGAACACATAAACCTGACATCAGTTCCCCAGAGAATTACAAAGACACAGATCAAATTGAGACTTTGCTTAACTCTTTTCGCAATATGAAACTCGTCTATGAGCCGTTGAACCCAAATCGAGCTGTACATATCGCAAAGCTACCAAACGAATTGGTGATACATATACTGAAACAATTGATTGTAACGGGAGATGTGAATTCTTTGGAGAAATTTGGAATTGTTTGCAAGAAATTCTGGATATTATCGAGGGAAGTTTCACTGTGGAAATTTTTGTGTCAAAAAGCTTATCGGGACCTGAATCTATCGTTCGGAACATCAAATTTGTTACAAGGAGAGTATATAAAATTATACAACAATGATTGGAGAAGAATGTACATAGAAAGGTACTGAAATTTTATCCGCAGAGATTGAAAATTTCATTTGTAAACTATAACGCATTCGTGTGTTCTCATTGCAATCTCTTAAAAGACCTCGAATCAGATTTGATGGTGTTTACATATCGACATGCCATTACCTAAGGTATTGCATCAAAGTAGACACCCGTTGCAAGTGCACAAAATCGTAATTACACCTCCATAATACATACATATTTATAATATTTCAGGCCTGGATCAACAGAAAACGTTTGGAATCAGCCGATACACTTAGTAACATACTATCGGTATATTCGATTCTACTCGGATGGTATGTGCATTACGTTGTTAACGACTTCCGAACCGACATCCGTAGTCAGGAATTTTTCGCCCGAATACAAATCAAAGGGGTTTATGAATGGGAAATGGGTATTAGAAGGGGATATCTTAAAAATCTCGGCAGTGGATCAAGATCTGCCGAGATTTCAATTTTTTTTGAATTTTCAGTTGAGGTCGATCTCAAGAGGAAAGAATAACAAATTGACATGGATCTGTACGTCATCTTATTCTTACATTTCTTGTTTTCAATGCGTGCTCTTTTGGAAGGGTAAATTGTGTGCGTTCAAATTGACAAAAAATTATTCCCAATAGCCTACTATAGTATCACGGATTCTACTGACGAACGAAGTGAAATAAGTTTAAGAAACGAAAAAAATTATATATTCAGCAAGGTACAGAATTCTGTGATTTTAGAATTCATATATTTAGGTCTATCTGTCAACTGATCACTCTTCATCTTTGATGATTTTAGGTAAAAAGTTATGCTGTTATATGGTAGCACTGTGAAGTATAGGGCTCAATTGATGTTATAGTTTACTCTCGTTAATAAACGAATTTATTTAAGTGAAACATGAATATAATGAATGCCTTTAAAGACTTTTTGTGGCATTCGTCCTTGTAATAAAATTGCTGTGGATTATTTTCTATTTCAAGCTAAATAGAGGATTAACTACATATACAGTAAACATATAATATAATATACATGTATATACTGTGTACAGTATCTTTGTCAATCCAATTGATGAAAGAACAGATAAATATTAACATTAATGCCCAGATTTTTGAAGTAAAAATGATTAAGGTGATGCATTTTAGTTGAAATTAGAACTCTTCATAAGGCCTGACTATACATTTGATAAAGAGATACACTAACTTGGAATAATAATAAATAATCAAAGTCTAGAACAATTAACAAAAACTATTACAGTATTAATAAAAACTTTTTTTTTTTTTGGCAAGGCTTAAAATTTGTTGAATATCAATATTCCTATAAACTAATTCCTTTTGATTTTAAAGTTTTTATTGCATCTGGATGATTATTGAGAGCCGCCAGTCTCAAGTACTTCATCCCCAACTCCTGATCCTTTGGGCAAAGTAATTTTCCATTAAAATACATATCACCTAAATTATATTGAGCCGCAACATTTCCACCGTCTGCAGCTTTCGTGAGGTATTCTTTGAATTCGGTAAACACCTTTTTGGTAAACTTGATACCCGGTGTATTTGTCAGAGAGAATGCGTAACGCAATTGCGCATCAGGAATTCCATCATCCGCTGCCTCTTTGTACAATTGATT